AGACAAATGTCGAGAACTTTGGAAACTCTTGAGTTCGACAACAAAGCGCTGCGAAGACTGCCATTGGATGCGATTGAAGACAATTACGTGCGGAGTGTAAGCAACGCGTGTTTCTCACGCGTCAGACCCACCCCTCTCTCCAACCCACGGCTGGTCTCGTACTCCAAGTCTGCGCTCAAACTCATTGACATCTCGGAGGAAGAGGTGGTGAGCGAGGATTTCGTGCAATACATGACTGGAAACAAACTGATGTCCGGATCAGAGCCGGCGTCTCATTGCTATTGTGGCCATCAATTCGGTATTAATGGGGGATCGGGTTGTCTGTAGTGATAGTAGTGATGGTCTAACGTGTGGTCACTGTTTAGGCACATTCGCGGGACAGTTGGGCGACGGGGCGGTCATCTACTTGGGCGAAGTGGTGACCAGTTGTGGCGATCGATGGGAAATACAGCTGAAGGGCGCGGGACGGACGCCGTACTCGCGTGAGGCGGACGGACGCAAAGTGTTGCGCTCGAGTGTCAGGGAATTCCTCTGCAGCGAAGCCATGCATGGGTTGGGCGGTGCGACCACACGGGCGGCCACTTGTGTCATATCCGACGATAAGGTGGTCCGCGATATGTTCTATAAGGGAGAGCCAACTCTGGAGTACTGCTCAGTCATCTCACGACTCGCGCCCACTTTCCTAAGGTTTGGTTCGTTTGAAATCTTCAAAACAGTTGATCCCATGACAGGACGTCGGGGTCCCAGTGTTGGCCGCAATGACATACTTCTATCGCTCATTGAGTACACAATTGAGACATTTTTCCCGGAGATTCACAACCAGATGAACATATCAAATGTGGAAAAGTATAAAATGTTTTATAAACAAGTGGTCAATAAAACGGCACAAATGGTGGCCTTTTGGCAGACAATAGGCTTCTGTCACGGAGTCCTCAACACCGATAACATGAGTATAATTGGTCTGACCTTAGATTACGGTCCCTTCGGGTTTATGGATCGCTTTGATTGGGACCACGTGTGCAATACGTCTGACGAAGGGGGCCGGTATTCGTATGCAAAACAGCCGGAAATCTGTAAATGGAATCTCTTTAAGTTCGCGGAAGCGCTTCAACCCATTG